CCGCTCGCCGCGCGGCTGAGCAGGCCCACCTTTTGCAGCGTGAGCAGTAGCGCGAGGTACTGGTAGCCGTACGTCTGGAGGATCTCGCGCTTGACAAATTCGAGGTTCTTGGCCTTGATACCACCCGCGCCTGGCCCAACGATGCTGCTGAGGCACAGCAGTCGCAGCACGGCCACGAGGCTCCTCTCCTCGTTGACCATGTCCTCGATGCCCTGCTGCTGCGCGTTCATGTCGAGCCCGGCGACGAGGTTCTGCTGGATCTCGAGCATGCGGTTGAACTCTTCGCGGCCGGTGAACTGCATGATCTTCTCCGTCAGGCCCGTATGGAGCCTCAGCGAGGCGTGCTCGTTCTGCAGCCCGCCGAGCTTGCCGACGAATGCGCGGATCTGTGAGACAGTCTTGGCCTGGTGGCGACCCTCGTAGTCCTCGTTGAGCCGCTTGGCGGCGCGATGCAGCTTCTCGCCGACGACGGCAAAGTTGAGGTCGCGGATCTCGGCAAAGAGGAGGTCGGTGGTGCTGTCGAGGCGGTGCTTGCGCTTCTTGGGCGCCGACGTCATCTGCAGCGGCGTGCCGCTCCCGGAGGGTTGCGAGGGGTGGGGCGGCGCGGGCTGGTTGGTGCCTGTCAGCAGCGCCGGGTCGACCTCGACGTGGGCGTTGCGGATGCCGACGACCTCGTCGACCAGGCCCTCGTAGGTGAGCTGGGTGCAGAGGGGCGTGGCGAGGTCGACGGATCGGTCGATGATGATGAGGCTGTCGATCGACGTCGAAGGCGTGGTGAGCGAAGGGTTGGTGGGGTCCGAGGCGAGGTGCTCGCGGCGCTGCCGGATCAAGAGGTCGGCGAGCCTCCTGGCGAGGTTGCCCTTGCCAATGATGCGCGGAAAGAGGCCGTAGGCGTGCTGCATCGTCATGAGCGCCTGGGCCGAGCGGAAGATGGACGTGTGGTCGCCGTCGGCGTAGATGCGCTTCCACGCCGTGTCCTCCTCGAGGCTGATCACGTCCTTTTCCAGCGGCACAAACTCGAGGCCGAAGTCGAGCAGCGATATGTCCGAGAGGACGGCCTCGCGGTCGAGAAACTGCAGGCAGGGCTCTGTCCGGTGCGGCACAAATGTGACGGTGTAGGTGTGCTGAAGGGGCGACGAGGGTCGGGCGGCGCGGTCGGCCCGGATGTGTTCTTGGTCGGGACGAGGGTAGCGGGAAGCAGACGCGTCAGCTGGGCGTCCGAGCGCGGCATAATGACTTCGCGAGGAAAGGAGAGTGTGCCCGTGCGACGATGCGCCCGCCCGTCGTAGGCCGGGTCGAGGCTCGCGGGGAGTCCGACGGCCGACGAGCTGTGCAGAGCAGCGACGGGCAGAGGAGCATCGCAGCAGGGTGGCCGGGTACTAAAAATCCCGGCCAGATGGTCGATCTTCGGACATAGACTGACCCGATCCTCGATTGTGCGTGTGGCAGGCGCCGCCGCTCGACGCGGCCGAGCAGCGGCGCGGTGCGCTTCGAGGAACGGGCTAATTGAGTCCGCGTGTAGAAAGGGCGGGATGTGAGGAGGGCACGGCAGAGGAAGGGGGTGGGTCGGCGCGGCAGGCGACTTACCAGCAATGGCCGACATCCATCGTATCTCTGGTCGGCAGATGTAGACGACGGAGCGTGTGGGCGCGTTGATGGCCTTGAGGGAGTAAGGGTGTCCGTGTGCGTTGACCGATGCTGCTGCTGCTGCTGCTGCTGCGGACGCGGAGGTCGACGTCTTTGGTACAAAGGCGGGTGAATGGTTTTCGAGCCAGAACATGCGTTCGACGCCGTGGTGCTTGAGGCTCTGCACGTCTGCGACGAGGCCGAGGGGTCCTGCGAGAGAGGGATCGAGGATGAGGGTTTTTGCCTCCTTTATCGAGTCGAGAGTGGAGAGGAGGCCGCGCTTTGCGAGGTCTGTGAGGATTGAGGTCTCGAGGCCGTCCCAAGGGGATGGGAGGGGAGCGTCGGTGGCGGCTGCTGCTGCTGCGGCCTGCGGGTCTGGCGACGAGGTGGCGCTAGCATGGCGGCTGGCCGAAGGTGCGACGGCGGCAGCCATGGTGGGCTTTCGAGGATGAAGAAGACGGGAGTTTGAGGTGATGGAATGACGAGAGAGAAGAGAAGAGAAGTGACGCCAAGATCGACAGCCGCGTCGAGGCAGGAGGCAGGCCGGCTCAAGGAGCGTCAGCCGCCCCCAAAGGCGCAATCCCCCAAAGTAGTCGGGTAGCGGCCAGGCCTGTGCGCAGAGGACCCTGCCTGTCAAACCGAGAGAGTAGTGTCAGACTCGGACGAGAGGAGCCCCTCGCAACCAACACTTTCCACCCTCGCCGCTTTTCTCTGGCCAGCAGGTGGTTGGTTGGCCTGCCAGCCAGCGCCAGCCAGCTCTCAGAGGGCAGACCACCGTCTCTTCTTCGTGACTCCATCCCCCCTCCCCCTCCTCCTCCTCTCGCTCCTCACCAACCCGTGCCGGCCCGTCTGACTCCCTCATCACCACCGCCATCCCTCTCTCTCGGAAACCCTCCTTCTATCATCCTACACGGCGGCGGCGGCGCATGTCACTGTGCTTATATACATCCTCGTCCCTCTCTCTTCGCCGCATCGTACCCCTATCCCTCTCTGTCTCCCGCTCCCTCGCCCGCTCCTCACCCCACCGCACCCAGAATCGCACCATCGCACTATCGTCACCTGCCACCATGGCCGCCGCACCCGACGCCTCGTCCTCTTCCACGCCCACCCGCGTCGCACAGCCGCAATGGCAAGTGCCCGCAAAGGCCGTCCCAGAGCCCCAGCTCAAGGTCTACAACAGCCTCACACGCACAAAGACGCCCTTTGTGCCCACAAAAGGTCGCTCCGTCGCCTGGTACAACTGCGGGCCCACCGTATACGACGCTAGCCACATGGGACACGCGAGAAACTACGTCACTCAGGACATTATCCGCCGCATCCTCCGAGACTACCTCGCCTACGACGTCCACTTTGTCATGAACATCACCGACATCGACGACAAAATCATTGTCCGCGCCAGGCAGGCTCACCTCGTAAAGACGTTCCGCGCACAGCATCCCACCCTCTCCCAACCCCTCCTCCAGACCGTCCAGGAGGCCTGGTCCGCCTACTTTGCAAAGAACGTCGAGCAGTTTGCGCCCCCGCTCCCGCCCCAGGAGCGACAGGGCGGCCTCGCCGCCACCGCGGAAAAGGCTAGGGCGGGCGAGGCCGGCTTCGAGGAGGTCGCGCGCCTCAGGCAGGATGCCGCATGGCTCAAGCAGGCCTCGGAAAAGGAGCCCAAGTTCGCCATGTGGTTCGCCGCCCTCGAAAAGTCGAGAAACGCCCAGATCGCCGCAGCAATGGCCCTCGGCGCCGGCGACGCCTCGAAACAGCAGGCAAAGGACCTGATCGACGCCTCCGAAGACGTCCTCAGCCTCCACCTCGACAAGGCGCTCGGCCACACCGTCACCGACCCTGCCGTCTTCCGCGACCTGGCCGCCTTCTGGGAGGCCGAGTTCTTCAACGACATGAAGCGCCTCCACGTCGAGCCGCCCACCACCCTCACCCGCGTCAGCGAGTACGTGCCCGAGATTGTCGCCTTCGTCGAGCGCATCGTCGCCAACGGCTACGGCTACGCCGAGGGCGCCGACGAGGGCAAGAAGAATGTCTGGTTCGACACGCGCGCCTTTGACGGCGCAAAGGCCCGCGGCGACGTCGACGGCGACTTCTGCCACAGCTACGCCAAGCTGCAGCCGTGGTCCAAGGGCAACAAGGAGCTGCTCGAGGAGGGCGAGGGGTCGCTCTCGACATCGGCCGCCGCCACCGTCGGCAAGCGCGCCGCCTCGGACTTTGCGCTGTGGAAGTCGTCCAAGCCCGGCGAGCCCGCGTGGCCGTCGCCGTGGGGGCCCGGTCGGCCGGGCTGGCACATCGAGTGCTCGGTCATGGCGAGCGAAGTGCTGGGCACCACGATGGACGTCCACTCGGGCGGCGTCGACCTCATGTTCCCGCACCACGACAACGAGATTGCCCAGAGCGAGGCCCACCACGACTGCCGCCAGTGGGTAAACTACTTCCTCCATACGGGCCACCTGCACATCGAGGGCCTCAAGATGTCCAAGTCGCTCAAAAACTTCATCTCGATCGACGAGGCCCTCGAGCGCTTCACGGCGCGGCAGCTGCGCATGAGCTTCCTGCTGCAGCCGTGGAGCTCGCGCATGGACTTCAAGGCGAGCGCGCTCGGCGAGGTCAAGAACGCCGAGAGCACGTTCAACAACTTCTTCGCCGGCGTCCGCGCCAAGGCGTCGGAGCGGCGCGCGCTTGGTGCCGCCTACTCGGACGGGCAGCACCACTACGAGCAGGCCGAAAAGGCGCTCATGGCCTCGCTCGACGAGGCGCAGCGCGCGTTCCGCGAGGCCATGTGCGACTCGTTTGACACGCCGCGGGGCATGGAGGTGCTGCTGGACCTCGTCAGCAAGGCCAACGTGTACGAAAAGAGCAAGGCTAGGCGGACCGACGTCAACGTCGGCGTCCTCGAGGCCGTGGCGCGCTACGTGGGCGACATGCTCAAGATGCTCGGCCTCGGCGAAGGGCCAGCGGCCAGTGACGCGCTCGGCTGGGGCGACGCCGCGTCGGGCGAGGGCGCAGGCGCCGCCGACCGCGACGAGGTGCTGATGCCCTACCTGCGCGTGCTCAGCTCGTTCCGCGACAGCATCCGCCAGCTCGCCCGCAGCGGCGCGTCGGCCGGCGACATCCTCAAGCTCGCCGACGCGCTGCGCGACAATGACCTGGTCGACCTCGGCGTCGCGCTCGAGGACACTGAGGGTGGGTTGCGCTGCCGATCCAAGTCCGACCCCAATGCTGCCCCAACGGACTGGATGAGCTGACCACGCCCCCTTTTTCTCGTCCTGACAAACTTCCTTTGCCCTTCCTGTCCGCCCCGCTCTCCCCTACCTACCTGCAGATGGCAAGGCGCTCGTCAAGCTAGTACCCGCCGAGCAGCTAAGGGCCGCCAAGGCGGAGCGGGAACAAGCAGCGGCGGAAAAGCAGGCGCGCAAGGCGGCCGCGGCCGAGCAGGCGCGGCTCAAGCGGCTCGAGAACCTCGAGCGGGGACGTATCGCGCCCACCGACCTCTTCCGACCGCCGCACGTCGGCGATGCCGAATTCACGGCGTGGGACGAGCGCGGCCTGCCCACCCTCGATGGCGAGGGCAAGGAACTGGCAAAGAAGAGGAGGAAGAACCTCGAAAAGGACTGGGACAAGCAGTCGAAGCTCCACCGCGACTTTTTGGAGGCCAGGGAAAAGGGCGAGATTCAGTAGCCGTGTACGTGCGCAGTATAGCGCCACACTGGCTTTGTGTCGTCGTAGACGTTTCCTTAGGTATTCATCCTTGGAGGATGGCAAATCGAGAGCGGTCTCTTTAGAGATATGACGACTGAGGGGAGGGGTTATTCGGGTCTATCGTGCGCTGCAATGGTGTGGGCATGGTGGTAGGTTACGCGACGACCTTGATCCGCGCGGCCTTTTTGATGTCGTCGGGCGAGATGCTGGCGATCTCGTCGATGAGGGCCGGGATGAAGGATCCCGGTCCCCGGACGTCGGGACGGGCGGCGGCCTGTTCGGATGCGATGGTCATGCTCAGCAGGCTGGGTGCCGAGGAGGGAGGGGAGCGAGAGAGGGAGGGGGAAAGGGTCAGTAAACTCTGCAACCGTGTTGAGAGGTGGGGGAGGCAAGGGGTTCCTGCGACTTACGCCATCAAGGCACCGACGAATAGATCCTCCTGGTGGTTGACCATCAGTTTCCCCAGCCCGCCCCCACTCTCCCCATCCTCTGGCGATGCAGCATCGACAGCGACGCGGGGATGGACACAAGAGGCGAGCGCAACGGCGAGCATGACGCCCAGGGCGCAGCCGCTCCCCGTGATCCTGCCGAGCAGCTCGTGCCCATTATCGCAGGCCACGACGCGCTGCCCATCCGAGAGGTAGTCCGTCTTGCCGCTCAGCAGCACCAGGCACCGCTCCCGCGAGGCAAGGGTGCGCACCAGGGCGACGGGATCCGACAGCTGTCCGGACCCCGAATCCACGCCTCGCGCGGCCACTTCGGCGCTGCCCGAGATCGATGACAGCTCCGCGGCGTTGCCCTTCAGCAGCGTGACTTGCGTGTGGTTGAGGATCTCTGTGCGAGCGCGATTGGTTCCAGGGTAGGGCGAAGAAAAGAAAGACGGGGAACGGGGTCACGAGCTGTTCCGTGCAACGGCGGCTCAAAGACGGCTGCATCCCCTGGCCCACTCACCGTTGACGACCTCCTTTCGGAAATTCGTCGCACCGCATCCAACAGGGTCGAGGACGACGGGCTTGCCGCCACGGTTGGCCGCCGCGCCCGCCACCTTCATGCCGGCACGGCTGGGCGGGCCAATGGTGCCAATGTTGAGCACGAGCCCGCCGACGGCGCCGCTCAGCTCCTCGGCCTCTTCGGCCTCGTGGCTCATGATGGGGCTCGCGGAAAAGGCGAGCGCGATGTTGGCCGAGAGCGTCGACGACACGTGCGACGTGATCGTCTGGATCAGCGGCGGACCCGTGGGCGAGCTCCGCAGCGTCGAGAGGAGCGAGGCGGCGCGGTCGACGTAGAACGCTGCGTCTGTCGGCGATGAGGGCGGAAGCAGGGACGGGTGCGGCGCAAAGGCGGAATAGAGCAGGGCCGAGCCCGACTCCGACGGCAACGAGGACGACGAGCGGGATGCGGCGAGACCGAGCTTGAAGCGCGACACAATCTCGCCCAGCTCCCGCGCGGCGACGTCCGAGTCGACCCTGGCGACAATGGCCGAGATGACGGCGATGCCGTCGGGGGCGTTGGTCGACGAGGTGGCGCCAAACAGGGTCCTGGCCGCCGTCTTTTGGTTGAGGCCGCCGATGAGGACGCAGGGCATCCTCGTCTCGGACCCGCCACCGCTGGCGCCGGCGCCCAGGACCTCGACGATCTCGCGTGCGCCCCTTGGTCCGATGACCTTGTCGGCGGTGATGCCCTTTTTGGACTGGGTGCCGTAGCACGGTCCGACGCCGGCGTAGTCTGCGCCAGATCGCTTGGCGTCGAGGGCCTGCTGGACGCTCTTGACCGAGATGCCAAGGAGGCGGTTTGGGCCGAGGAGGCGACGCGCCTGGGCGACGGGGATGTCGTCCTGCCCGATGTGCAGGCCGACACGCGCCGGCAGCGAGAGGGCGACGGTGAGGTTGTCGTTGATGAGCATCGTGACGTTGTACTGGCGCGCCGGGAAGGGGAGAAGGAGGGGTCGAGTAGACGTGTGTGCGGGTTAGCAGCAGGCCAGTCGGTGCGGCAGGGGTTGGCAGTCGGCGAGCAGCACAAACCTTGTCGCAGATGTCGAGGGCCCTCTTTGCGATTTCGAGAAAGTGGCCCGTCTCTGCATCCTTTTCTCGGATCTGAACCATGCCGACGTGGCCGTCTCGGAGGGAGCGCTCGAGGCTGTCGAAGAAGTCCACACCCGGAGGGAGCAGCTCGCGTCCCGTGACGAGGTAGACCGAGTAGTCCAACTTGCTCCTGTCGAGCGGCACTTCGTCGTTGGCGGCGGCATTGCCGCGAGTGGGTGGTTGCGTCGACATGGCGGCGAGGCAAGGTGGTTTAGCGGGTAAGCCGAGGTGGTGGTCGAGAGGCGAGCAGAGGGAGAGGCGAGCAGAGGGAGAGGCGAGGCCAGGGACACCACCTGGCCAGATCTTCTCAGCGTGCTTCGGCCTGCCCCCCAAACTCGAGCGGGGAAATCGCACGTCAGCCTGGCTTGCCCTTCGGCATAAAGCCGAGCGAAACCCAGACCGCGCGCCCAAACCTCGGCCCCAACCTCCACCTCGCCCGCCGCGGCCAACGAAACGATCCTCGACGGCATCGTCCCGACTCCCTGCCACCACCATCCTGGCTTCGACGATTTGCCAGCCCATTCAACGCACACACACATACACACCAACACGGACAGCCCCAACGTGCAAACTGCAGCTCCGCAACGACCTACTCGTTTTGCGGCATCGTTTGGCATACACGGCGACCTCTACAGCATCACTCTCTCTCTCTCCGCACACAGTCGGCCGCCTCGCCTCGCCTCGCCTCGCCTCGCTGCCCGCCGCCTCACTTGGGCAGGTACCGGATGCCCGTCCGCGGGCAGCCATTGTCCTTGGCCAGCGGCGCCGTCTGCACAAACGCATCCGCGCTCGTGCTGCGCCCCTCTGTGAAAAAGTAATACCACGCCTCGTTGAGGTTGGCGCCGCGGCACCGGAACGACGCGCCGTGGCCGTATTTTGCCTCGACGGCCGCCTGCAGCTCGGCCAGCGCGTACGTCTTGGTCGCGCTCGGGACGATGCCCGCCTCGGCCAGCGCGTCGTACGTCGAGTACCGCCGGTGCAGCTCCGTCGCCGTACGGAAAAAGTCGACCACCTCCTGGTTGGGCGTGTAGGCCTCGTAGCACGACGGCACCAGCGTCGACACGCACGTACCGTGCTTGTTCCACTCGTGCGACTGCCAGCCCAGCAAGCCCGGCAGAGACGTGGGGAGGTGAGGTGCTCAGCCGCAACGCACAGCAGCGCGAGTCGCCAGCCGGTCTCGCCCGCCCCACTCACCCAGAACGAGTTGTCGTTGCCCCGGATGTCCAGCCAGTACTGGTTCATGTAGTCGAGCACATCGGTGGCATTGGCCCCGCGCAAGATGCCCGCAATGTCGCCATGGTTGCGGCTCGAGTCACACGACGCATCATAGCCCCCAGAACATCGATCGGGCCAGACGCCGTGTAGAGTCCAGACGTCATCGGGGCCCGTTGCGGGGCTGTAGTCCCAGAAGTTGGTGAGGAGGAGGAGGCCGCCGGGCGTGTTGGTCTGGCACGGGTCGGTCGAGCAGCCAGAGCAGCTGAGGCACGACGCCGGGCGCGCCTGGAGCGGGTCGGCCTTGAAGGGCAGCTGCGCGGCGGCGGCGGCGGTCGAGGCGGCGAGGCAGAGACCGAGCAGCAGCGCACCGAGGGCCAAGGCGGCGCTGCGGGTCATGGTCTGGTCGGGTCGGGTCGGGTCGTCGTCGAGGGGTAAAGACGCTTCTGGGTGACAGCTTGCTTGAAGGAGAGAAGGGTGAGGGTTGAAACTAGCTGACGATAATGGTGATAGTTGCAAAGGGAGTGGGTGTGTAGGTGGTGGTGGTGGTGCGAGTGAGCGGGGGTGGTGCTGATAAGACTCGCCAACGAGGGGCCGGCGAGGAGAGCAGGCTGGGGCTGGCCAAGAGGCTCGAGCAGACAAGCAAGCAAGCAAGCAAGCAAGGGCCAACGTGCACGGCAAGCCTAGCCGACAAGGTTGCTCACGGGGGCTCGGGCTAGGCCAGGCCAGGCTGATTGCAGGCGAGGCGGAGGGGCCTCGGCCTCCACCCGCTTGCTTGCTTGCTTGCCTGGCCCGGCCCCTGACCGACGGCGGGCTGCCCGAGTTGCCGCCCGCTGCTCCCCCGCAATTTCCAGCCAAGCGCTCGCACGTGAGGCGACCCGCCAAAGGGCGCGGCAGCCGACAGCCAGCCCAGGCCAGGCAGGTGTTGATTTTCGGGCGTGGGCGAAGTGTTGGTCTCGGCCCTCGCCCTCTCCCTCTCCCTCTCACGCGCACCCACACACTCTCGCAGCGCTCGACCTCGACCACGATCTCGACATCAGCCTTTGATTCATCGCACCGCGTGCACCGTCCACGCCCAACCACCACCCTCCGACCGACATGCCGGCCAAGATGGACGCCTTCACGGGCGACCTTTCGCTGCGCTACTTTGTCGACAGCGGCGGCGGCGGGCAGGACGACGACTCGCCATCAGCCGGAGCAGCAGCCCGGCGCACTCCACAGAGCAGCAGCCGACGCCAGCTCAGCTGTCGAAAGAAGGCAACCGTCCCGGCCTCGCCCGGCTTCAACGTTCCGGCTCTGTCGGCCGACGATAGCGCACTGATGGACACCAGCCTCGGCGACGTCTCCAATACCCTCACCAAATCACCCGCCAAGGCCACCAACGCCTCCTCGAACTCGTCGCCCAGGAAGAGCGCGAGGCAGCCGCCAAGGACAGGCGCATCGCCGCTCAAGAACTTCTACTTCACCACCGACCTGCGCCGGATATCAGAGGTGCCCACCGCCACGCCGGGAGATGACACCTTCCTCGTCGACCTCGATACCAGCGAACTCGAGCGCCTTGCCGCCTGGGAGACAGCTCAGCTGGATCAGAATGCGCTAAAGTCAAGCACGGCGAGCAGCAGCGGCGACGGCTCGAAGTCGAGCTCCTTACGCCCCTCCCGATCTAAGCTGTCGGAGCTGTCCAGCCTGCAAGAAGACTCGGCGGAGCACGAGAATATCGCCCCCTTTGTCCAGCTTGGCCGAGGTCGAAGCCGCAGCAGGAGCCCCAGAAAGGCCAGGCCGTCTGCTGCCCTGCCGTCGAGGGAGGATGTCGAGCCGATTCCTGAAGTCATCCAGCCCGTCCCGGAGCCTGCATCGACGCAGCCGATCCTGACGTCTTCGGCCCAGGCCGCGAAAAGACCTGCCGCAGAAGATGTTGCCGGTCCGCCAACGAAGGCGTCAAAGAAAGCGTCGCTGATCTCCGTAGGTGCCAACAGGCAATATTTTCGAGCTTCTCGGGCGGCGGCTGATTCCCTTGTCCCTGCCCTGCCCGCGTTGCACCTCTCCGATCCCCAGAAACCACCTTCGCAGGGCACGGCTAGCGTCACTCAGTCGTCCGTCAAGACATCTCGCAGCTCAGTGCCCCGGAAACCGTCTTCGTCTCGCGAAGCATCGAGACTCGCCTCTTCGTCATCGTCAGACGCTCTTTCGAGCTCGATCTTCTCTTCGGACAAGGACGTGGGTGGCAGTGGGCCCATGCCGACTTCGGCGGCGCTGGAGCCGACGCTTGCACCCTCTGCTGGCGACGAAAAGCAGCGTGCTTCGGTCTCGCCAAAGAGAAGGATTGCAAAGGCGCAGTCGCGGCAGCCTTCTACTTCGCCCACCAAGCTACCCACCAGGCGCGGCTCGAGGGTCTCGCTGGTCGCCGCCGCAGAGCCGCGCGAGGAGCGGCGCAGACGGCTGGGCCTCAGCACGAAGAGCAAGGAAGAGCTAGCGTCAAGCGCAGTGCCGATCGAGATGCCAGCCGAGGCTGCCGTTGAAGCGGCAGCTACATCGCCGGACCCAAGATCGCTGCTGCCGTCGACGCCACCCCTGACGCAGTCGGAGGACGGCCAGGTTGAGATTCCCGTAACGCCCAGTGAGCAGCAGCCCGAGGTTCAGACTCTGGCCGAACAACAGCGACGCTCTCCACCTGCCGAGGCTGTGCCTCCATCCCAGGAAGCTCCTGCAGCCAGTCGGACAACGAGGCGGCGATCTGCGCGACTCAGCCTCAAGGGAGAGAGCTCACCGCGAGATCCGACGGGGGCGCCAGCGACGGAGCCGAAGCCGTTCAAGCCCAAGGCGACGACCAGGAAGCCGTTGCGGCCATCTCTGACCATCCCGACGACGGCCGTGGCAAAGAAAGAGGCTGCCGTGCAGAGGAGCGCCGTCGCCCAGGCTCGCAAGGCGGCGTCCGCGGCACCCTCCGTCACAGCCAGGATTCCGGCAGTGACAGGCCGGAAGGTGCAAGCCACGCCGCCAGTTGCCCCGAGTCAGAGCGCAACCAGCGACAAGGACTCGACTGGCGCGAGCGCATCCAGCGCTGCCCCTGGGGGCCGCGTCCTGCGGAACCGCAAGTCGCTGGTGGCCCCACCGGCAGTCCCGACGACGGTCATCGGCGGCAAGTTCCGGCAGATGGCCAACGGCGAGCTGGTGCCCATCACGTCGCTGGAAGCGGCCGGTTTCCAGCTCTCGACGGACGCACGAGGAGCGCAGCACGCCACGATCGCCCGGCAGCGCCTCGAAAAGCAGGAAGAGGAGCGGAAGCGAAAGGCGGCGTACAAGGCGAACCCGATCCCCGAATGGATGCGGAAGCGCAAGCAGGAGCTGGAGAGGGAGGAAGAAGAGCGGCTGCAAGCCGAGCTGGAAGAGGCGCGGCAGCAGGAGCTGACCAGGCAAAAGAAGAAGAGGGTGGCGGCGTCGTCGCTGGCGGCGGACCGCGGTGCGAGGTCTCCAAAGAAGCAAAAGACGGTGGCAGTGCCGTTCGTGTCCAGCGTCGATGCGAGGCTGGCCGAGAGACAGAGGTGGGAAGACAAGAGGCGGCGCAAGGAAGCGCTCATCGAGGCCGAGCGCGAAAAGGCGAGGAGGGAGAGGGAAGCCAAGGAGGAAGAGGAGTACAGGGAGGCACGCAAGAGGACCGTCGTCAAGGCCAACCCGCTGCCCGGCTACCTCAACTACGCCGTCAGCAACGCGGCGGCAAGCTCCGAGACGCAGACGCAGCAGACGAGGTCTTCGGCCAGGACCCGACGCAGCGACTGAGGGCGTCGTCGCTTGATCGCCTCTCCCGATGGCCAGTTCTACCAGCATCGCCTGATGATACCCAAGCCCGGTTCCTCTTGACGAACCCCATCGATACCTCTTCACTCACTCTGCGGCCGTGCGGGTAGCAGCGCAGCCGCCGCATGTGTGCCGGTGCCGTCTGAGCGAAGCTCTCCAGGACAGAGGAGCGCGACGTGGATTGCCGTGGGCGGATAGGGGTTGGCGGGGCGGCCAGCAGGCCATCGGCTCGACCCGAGCCAGCGGGGTGGGAAGGGTCGGCTGGCTGGCCGAACGGCGACAGCGCCGATGGCCGGGGCTCGCCTCCACTTTTTTTGGTCTCGATCTCGGGGCGGTGCTTCGGCTTCCCTCCCGACGACCATCACCCATCCGCACCGCCCACTTGTCATATCGCCTGCTTCTGCTTCCGGCCATCGCCATCGGCACCTCTCGAATCTCTCTCAGCTCTCGCAGCTCTCCATCTGCCTTCGATCTCTTCACCTACTTCCACCGACACACGGACAGCCTGGCGAATCTCACCATTGTCAGAGGAGATGCGCGCGCCGTAGTCGTCCAACCCTGTACCTCCCCCTCCCCCCCCTCCTTCGGGCTCTCAACAGCCCAACATGGTCGACCCCGTACAGTGCCTGCCGTACGAGACCGCACTCCACCTCCTCTCCTTCCTCGACCCGTATACCCTCACGCAGGCCTCCTGCGTCTCTCGGTCCTGGTCGGGACTGGTCCAGGACAGCCAGCTATGGAGGAGGGTCGCCCTACGCCTGGGCTACCACCAAGGTCCCTCCCACCCTCGATTGACGGTCGCCGCCGGCACACTCAGGGAGATACCGGAATCGCCAGAAGAGGGCACCTTGGACGCTTCTACGGAGCTTGAGCGTGCCATCGACACGCACCGCTCCAGGAGCGTCACCCGAGCCTTTGACAATTGCCGCAACTTCCGACAGTTCTGCTGCCTCCTTTGGAAGCTCGAGTGCAACTGGGCCGGCAAAAAAGCGGCCGTCGGTCCCGGAGACCAGGGAGAACAAGGTCGCCTCGCTGCCGACTCGGAGGTGCCCCGCCTGCGGCCAAAGACGGCGAGGCGCTTCCCAGACTCGCCAAACGGAGCTTCTCCCGACGTCTGGAGGTTCAAGCTGGACCCCATCGAAAAGACAATCATCTGCACCGGGTGTGAAGGCGGCGTCACCGTCTACGACGCCCACACTTTTGAGATCCTGTGGCACCTCGCGCCGCACCAGACGAGGCAGCATCCGCATCTCGAGTTCTCCGAGGGCTACATGATCTTTGACCGCATCGACCTCGACCACTTCGAGGTGTGGAAGAGCGAGAGGATCTCGAGCCGTGACGAGCTCGGCGGCAAGGCTCCCGAGCGCGGGCGCTACCTGCCGCACGCTCGCCTCACGTCGCCCCGCGCGATCCGGGCGTACCGCTTCCAATTCCCCGTGCTGGCCGCCGCCACCCGCGACGGCGCCGTGCTGCTGTGGAACGTGCCCGAGCGGCGCCTGTTCCAGACCATCGACATCTCGGCCTCGCCTCACGGCGACGGCAACATCAACTACATCGACTTTGACGACGAGTACGTGTTTCTCATCGGCGACGGCGCCAAGAACGTCTCGGTCTTCTCGCGTGCCACGTCGCGCATGGCGTGGAACCTCGGCGAGCATTTCGAAAAGGGCAGAGCGGGGCCCTCGACGTGGAGGACGACGAGAGGCGAAGCCGTCTTCCGCGATTGGACGTTCAGCCAGGCAAAGTGGGTGCCGATGCCCCCGGGCGCGTGGCAGTCGTCGTCGAACCGCATGAACGACGCCCAAGTCTTTATGAAGCCGTACCAGTGCTGGGGCGCCATCCACCCGGACATCAAGACCAACACGCTGCTGGTGCTCGGCCAGGGCTCGCTCCTGCTGCTGAGGGACTACAAGAGCTTCTTCCGCGACACGTCCAAGCCGCCCGCCGCGTTCGACGAGCTCCTCTTCCGCGATCTTGTGATGGGCGTCGACCCTCGCTACGTGTCGGTGGAGTTCGACTTGGAGCGGGACCCGCTAGCATGGAACAGCCGCGAGCAGCTCTGGGACGTCTCTCCGCCTTCGCTGATGGCCGTGCACGACGGCAAGGCCTTCTGCGTCAATGTGAGTCGAGCGCAAGCGTGCATTGTCGGTCTGACACCGCGCCTCTGAGCGAACCTCGACAGAGGGGGACGCTGCTAATCCTGCTGCTCTCCGCCCTCTTCCACCCTTGCCTCGCAGCTGCAACCGATGTTCGTCGATCTGGAGCGGCCCGCGCCCGTGGTTGCAAGCGATCCGGGCGACGGCGGACCGGCTCCGGCCGACGACGCCGTCGAGCGTGCTGCCGGCCGGGGTCCTCCGTGCAGCCTCTACCTCAACTACAACAGCTTTGTGGCGCCGGACCACGACGTCTGGGTGACGGCGCTGTACGAGTCGAGCTGCGTCCAGATGGACGGCACGGCGGCTTTCTGCGTCGACATCGACTTTGACTCGCGGCCCCACATCCAGTCGTTTGACTTTGCGCGAACCCGCCGGCCGAGGCATGCCTCGCTGGCCTCGCGGAACCGCAACGCGGGCAGCGCCGCGGACAGCGGGAACGGCTCCTGGGATAGCGATGACATCGATGGGGACCACGAGGATGCCGAGGAGGCGGTGGTGTGAAGGTGGGAAGCGGCCGAGGGAGCTGCTCACAACCAAAAAAGCGAAGGGCAAGCAAGCGAGGAGACGTTGCGGTGTGGACCCGACGCACCGACGCATCGTCCGCTTTGGCCCCATCTCGTGCGTGTATGTACTCGATAATAGGCTCGAATCGACCCGACTCGGGAACTTGCTGTGCGTGCGTCGACCATGGCAAAGTGCATGGTATGACCTCGAGAGCGAGGGGATACGGGTCGACGAAGGTCGAGGAGAAGCTCGGGTCGCTGCAGCTATGTAGGCAGGTGGAGGGTGACGCCAAGAGCCGGCGGCCCGTGCACCGCCGGCCCCGGGCGCCGCTGCCGCTCGAGGTTGACGCTGGCAGCCGGGCCTCTCAGACGGACCTGGCCGCCTTCTTCTTCTTCTTCTTCTTCTCTTCTTCTTCCACCACCTCCATCTTCGTTCATCGACCGCTCGTCCTTTCCTCGTGCTGTCCTTCGCCGCTCATCGCTGATTGTTCGACGCCATGTCGACGTCCTCTGCGTCACCGCCGCCGCCAACCCCCGGGACCAAGGCCTCGACGGCCCAGCTTCGCATCCTGACGCTCAACGTATGGGGCCTCAAGTACATTTCCAAGCTGCGTTTCGAGCGGATACGGCAGATTGCATTGCGTCTCCACTCGCCCTCAACGCCCACGTACGATTTTGTATGCCTTCAGGAAATCTGGTACGAGTCGGTCGACTGGCGCCAGCTCCAGGCCCTCCTCTCGAGCCGGTATCCGCACACCAAGTTCTTCCTCTCGGGCGCCTTTGGCAGCGGCCTTGCCATCCTCTCACGCTGGCCCATCCTCGAGACGCGCACTCATCCCTACAGCCTCAACGGTCTGCCCATCCACGTTCAGCAAGGGGACTGGTTTGTCGGCAAGGCGTGCGGCGCCATCACCGTCCACCACCCCGAGCTCGGCCTGGTCGACGTGTGGAACACCCACTTTGTCGCCGCGGGCGGAGAGGACGGGCCCGAGAGCCGCAGGGCCCACCGCATCACCCAGGCCTACGAGCTCGCCACCAACGCCAGGAACAGCGCAAAACGCAACAGGCACACGATCGTCTGCGGCGACCTCAACTCGACCCCGCCCGCCCTCTGCCTACGCCTCCTTAGGGACGTCGGCGGCTTGTTTGACAGCTGGGCCGATTCTCGGCCGGGCGCAGACCCGTTCGCCACCGAGCTGCCGCCCTCTGCTACCGGCAGCGGCGCAAGATCGGGTCGCACCGCCATCGACCCCGAACGCGCCCTCGTCGACCTCGGCGTCACGTGCGACTCGCCGCTCAACTCGTGGACGGCGGGCAAGAAGCTCGACGCGAGAGCCCAGCGCGGAGCAGGCAAGCGCCTCGACTACATCCTCTACCGCGGTCCGGAAGTCGTCGAACCGAGCAACGACGTGCACCCTTCGTCGGTGCCGGCAGCCGCGTCGACGCTGGCCTACGAAGCGAGCGAGTCGACCAGGGGCAGGCTGCAGTGCACGGCGAGTCGCGTCGTCTTCACCGAGCCCTCGCCGGCGCTCGAGGGCATCAGCTTGTCGGACCACTTTGGAGTCGAGTCCATCCTCGACATTCTCCCACCACCACCAGCAGCGTCTTCCTCGTCGGCCAAGCACACGCACAAGCACGGCGTCGCACCGTCCTCGAGCGATGTGGCGATCACGACGAGCCGCGCCAAGAGCATTCAGACGACGCTGGCTGCCGCCATGCAGGCTCTGGCGGGTGGGCATGCCGGATCGCGGCGCACGCAGCGCAGCCACTTTGGCGTGTTCGCCGCTGCGCTCGGCGTTGCGGTCACCTCGGTCGTCGCGAGCATCTTCCAGCCTCTGTCCGGGGTCAATCCGCTCCTCGTCCTCCTTGGCGTCGTGGCGGGCTGGGCGGGAACGACGATGCTCTACAGCGCCGTCGTCTGGTTCGAATGGGAGAAACGTGAGTGTTTCAATCGGCCTCCTTCCTCTCTCAGCCTTGGCGTCTCTTTGGGCAGCCGGCACAACGCTGACACACCTCGCTTCGTTCTCTCGCCCCCTTTTCACGCTACTACCGTCTCGGCCTTTCAAAGGTACGCTCCGGACCGTGCTAGAGATGATGGAGCTGGAAATGGACCAGACGCGTCGACTCGCCCTTTTACCCTCGCGGACCCCGTCGTCGTCGTCGATCCGGCCCATCGGCGGCGGCGGCGGCGGCGGCGGCGGCAGCGGCAGCGGTGGGGGGGACGGGATAGCCGAGCGCACACCACCGTCGCAGGAACAGGGTGGCAGCAGCTCGGGTCCAAGGGCAGGCTCGTCGTCGCACAGCAGCGGCGCCGCTTCGCCCCTGCCCCATGTCCGGGAGGGCAACCTCATCTGATCCGATGCGACCTCGACGAGACCGACCTTGACCATCGTTCAAGACCATCCTTCAACTGTCAAGGTCGATGGCGACGATCAGAGACGGAGTAGGGGACACGGCGACGTTTCTATCTAGATTGTTCGTTTGGGAGAGGCGGTAGAGATGGAGATGGAGAGCAGAGGTGAGGGGAGGAGGATGTCTAGCGATTACGATGCGTCACCCTCTTTCTACCTTCTAAGAGCTAGTGCGATACCACGTCGATACGAGCGGCGCCGTGCCGCATCTAGTCAAACGCACGGCGAAGGGGACGACGGAGGATTGCCTCGCGCCCGCGACCGCGATCAGAGGGGGGATGGGGCGCGGGTCGTGTAGAGCGAGGCGAGGGCCGAAGTCTGCGGCGCGGGCGATCCAGGTCCGTGTCCCTGGAGGAGGAGGAAGTCGGAGCTGGCGCTCGTCTTGTTGCTCTCGTATCCCCGCTCGTAACGGTGGTGGTGATGGTGAGACGATCCGACGAGCGTCGTCCCCGTCGTCGCCGTATCCATATCGTATCCGCCACCGACATCACCACCACCGCCGGCTTTTCCTCTCTGCTGCTGCTGCTGCTGCTGAGGGGACGGCAAGGTTCGGCGCTGTGCGAGAAAGGGAGAGTTGGATGCGATGCTCGAAGTGTCCATCATCTGGTCGGTCTCGTCGTCGGCGCCGCCTGGCGAGCGCGAAAACGAAGAGTCGCCACGTCCGTGGCCGCCGCCGATGCCGCCGCCCGCGCCGTCGCTGGGACCCCTTCGCTTGCGCAGTCCCGCCATCGACGCCGCTCCGCGTGCATCAACCAGAGTCGACATGGCCATCTCGGTTCCTGCGCCGCGCGCCGTCGTGGCCGCGTCCAGGTCGCGCCTCCACGCCTGGTCGTCGCGCCCGACGCTGCAGAGGCAGTAGAGCGCCGTGTAGATAACGAGGATTCCACCCAGCGAGCCGTAGAGCAGGCCCTCGGCGATGAGGAGGTGGAAGTGCGTCGCGAACCGCTTGTCCTGGTGCTCTTCTCCGTGCCTGCCGCCCCTCGTCCCGTTCTTGGGCGCGTGGACGTGCGGCTGCCGATCGCCCGGATTCGTGAGGTTGGTGAGTTCGGCATCGGCCGTGTCGAAGCGGTCGTTGAAGAGGCGCCACAGCGTCACGTTGGTCGAAAGCATCGGGTAGTCCTGGTGGCTCGTGTTGGCCACAAAGTCGACCGTCTGCTTGGCCGTCGGAAAGCCCAGGTTGGGGCCCGTCTTGTACTCGCCCGAATCGGACGTGTTGGCGAGGGCCAGGACGAAGTGGCAGCCACGATCTAAGTGATTCCACCCTTGCATCGTCGCCTGGCAGTGGGTGTCGCCCTGGCCGTTGTCGAGCAAGCCGTAGGCGTAGTGGACGTCGCGGCTGCGGTACCGCTTGATGATGGCCGATAGCGAGGCGTTGACGTCGCGCCGGGCGTAGGGGGGCACCTTGGTCACGTTGGACATGCCGTAGGGCCACGAGTCGGCGCCTGGTGCCGAGTTGCCGCCCGAGTTGCCAGCAGACGAGAGGGACGTGGGAGCATGGTTAGCTCGTCGGCTGGGCAATCGCGTTGTGGCACTCGCCTGGCATCCCCTGCCCATCGGGCCCACCCGTAACTCACCTTGGCACGTCGCGTTGGCGTTCTCGCGATCGTCGGTGGGGAAGACGTAGGATCCAGGGTTGCCGATCCAGAAGAAGACGTTGGGATCGTAGGCCTTGGTCTTCTTGAGCATGGCGTACCGCTGCACCGCCTGCGCGCCCATCGAGTGCCCCGCGACGACGACGCGATTGATCGAAGGGAAGACCGACTTGTCAAAGAGCCAGTCGAGAAACGTGTCCATGACCTCGTACGACGATATGTTGGTCTTGTTCTCGTCGGGCGGCAGCGTGAGGTTCTGCACGCCTTTTGGGGGCGCCGCGGCTGCGCCGGGGTCGCTGGGGGACGGCGGCTGCTGCCTGCGTTGCAGCTCTTGCTCGCCCGGCTCGGCCTGGTCGGCATGCTGCTGCAGCGTGCGGTTGAGCTTGTGCAGCTTGGCTTGATACTCTTCGTCGGTCAGCGGGACGGGCGGGCCCTGGCTGTGGCTTCCGCTGGCCCAGCCCGAGCTGCGCCAGTAGAGCTCGTTGGGCTGCACGGCGCCCGCCGCCTTGTCGTTCTGGTTGAGCCAGCACATGCCCATGAGGAGCACCGAGGCGTTGTTGGCGCCCGGCTGGCCCTGCTGCGCCACGATGTTGAGCGCGCTGCGCACCAGCGCCGTGTACTTCCAGCAGTCGCGCGGCTTGCCGGGCATGACGATGACGGCGCGCTTGATCTGCGACGGGTCGTAGTTGGCGCTGATGTAGAAAGGCATGACGGCGTCGCCGCGCACCTTGAAGGTGCGGTTGAGGTTGAAGCCGTCGAGCTGCGGCAGCGTCTGCCAGCCGCCCGTGTCCGAGCCGTTGACGGCGGGCACCGTCGTGAGCGGCGTGCCGTTGTTCCACGGCAGCTGCTGCACGTCGTCGCCGTGGACGAGCGTGTACGACGTCAGGCTGCCCGTGGCGACGCTGTTGGGTCCGGAGATGTAGGGCAGCCCGATGGCCATCTGCGCCGCGGCCACCGGATCGGTGCTGGCGAGCGCCACGACGGCCTCCTGCTGGTCCTGGGTCGCTGGCGGCGGTGCGTTGGGGTCCTGGCGGCGCACGAGCCCGGACGCTTGCGAGAGCGAGACGGGGTCGATGGTGCATATCACCATGAGCACCATCACCAGGCTCGAGAGGCCGTTGAGCAGGGCGAGCAACCGCGCCATGTCGTCGTCGTCGTCGTCGTGGTTGTGGCAGTTGTACCGGCTGTCAATGTCGCGGGAGGAACGGTCGACTCGTCAAGAGGCGCACAGCTCCGGTTCGGCGTGCGATCAGAAGGGTAGTAGTAGTGTGGGCATCCGATGGTGAAGGCGCTGGGCAGAAAGGAGGATGCCCTTTAGCCTAGTGGTGTGCGCGGACAGAGCGATGGCGAACAGTCAACTAGGGCGGAACGGCAGGCGACGGGCAGGTCACATATGAGGTCGCCAGGTGGGGTGGTCCGAAAGCGGCCGCTCGAGCCCCATCATCGGCCGGCCGGTCGGCCTGCCTCAAATGAGGACGACGGGACGCCCCACCTGGCTTTGCTAGCGCTGCGCCCGACCTCCGCGTCAAGGCGGGGCGGGGCTGATGTGTGGGTGGCTGATCCGTCTTATGTATCTCGGCGGGCGCCTGCCGCCGTGGACCGACGCTCGTCTGTGTTGGGGCGGAATGGCATGCTGTTGGCAACGTCTAGCTGGATGGTGGTAGTGATACAGGATGAGCAAGAAAGAGGAAGAGAGGGGGACAAGGTGGGGCAGGGACAGGCGCGCCGGTGATGGCAAGCAGAGATTGGCGGGCCGATCGATGCCTCTACTTCAGGCCATGACGCTGCTGCCATTGTGGGCGCGCGCCATGCCTGCATTGGCGTTGGCAGGCGAGACGCCGCCGCTCGGCCCTCCAAATCCGAGCGAGCGGGCGCCGGTGCGCGACGCCTTTGGTGGGGCCGACAACGGTCCTGCAGCCACGCCAGGCGGCTGCTGCTGTTGCTGCTGCTGCTTGTTGAGGTGGGCCACCGTCGTCTGCCAGCTCTCTGCCAGTCGGCTGCGGTCGGCCGACAAGGAAGCGCGGCCGCCGGGCGCCGTCAGCCGGTCGCGTCTCGGCGCAGGCCGGGCAAAGGTTTCGATGTTGCCGTTTTTGCGCATCACCGACACCGAGTCTGGACGGAAGCGGACGCCGGTGAGGTACTCGCCCCCGAGGTCGGCGGTCACGACTGGCTGGAGGATGGCGACCTCGCTGCGCGGCGACGGCGGGTGCCACAGAGGCTCCTGCGGCGTCGACAGCGTGTGGGGCGATGCCGCCGGTCGGTCCATGCTCGCGCTGACCCGTCTTGCCGCCGAGTTGCCTGGCGAGCGGGACTTGTCGAGCAGCGAGAACGTCGAGCCCGTCGCGCTCCTCCTCGCCGCAGCAGAGTGGCATGCGGCGGTGTGCGACTTGGGCTTGTTGAGCGCGGCGCTGGAAAAGTCCCAGAAGATGAGCTTGCAGTCCTCGCCGACGGTGGCGAATCGGTAGGTCCGCTCGTCGTCCCGCCAGCGCCACGGATCCCACGCGAGGCCGGTGACGAACGACGTGTGGCCCTGGCAGCGCGCCACGATGCGGCCCTCGCGCGGCGCCCACACGGTCACCAGGTCGTCCTGCCCGCCGGTGAGCAGGAACTTGCCGTCGGGCGACCAGCTGACGCAGTTGATGCCGCCAAAGTACGACTCAAAGGCGTCCAGCAGGCGCTCCGAGTTGATGTCGGCGACCCGAAGCACGCCGTCCTCGGCGACAATGGCGACGTGGCTGAAATCGGGGCTGAAGGCAAAGTCGGTGACCTTGGACTTGGACAGCCTCCAGTGGCTGACCGGGTTCATCCGCGACCACGGCGTCTCCTTGCCCTTGCCCGACAGGCCGTTGGCGCTGCCGCTGTAGGATCCGAGATCGCCGCGCGACTTGCCGCTTGGCAGGCCCGATGCGATGGGCACTCCGCCGGGCTTAGTGACGAGCATGAGGGGTTCGCCATCCTCCCGTCCCACCCTGCCTGCCCTCGTCCTGGCGGTCGAAGGGCCGGCGGACGATGACCCGACCGACGGACCCAGCCGCGCTGCCGTTTCGCCGACACTAGTGCTGGGCTCGTTGCTCGGCGTCGCGCCGTCGCTCGCGTCGCCCGCAGTCGTGCTGGTGGATGCGGTCAGGCTGCGCTGACCGATGCTCGGCCGGGATCCGGTCGGCGTGAGAGGCGGGAAAGCGGCAGCGCCACCGCCTGACCTGCCTGCGTCGGCACCGTCCGAGCGCTGGAGATTTTGCAGGGCTGCGCCGGCTGCGCTGCGAGAGGGCGTCCAGGATGCCGGGACAAAGTCAGACGAGTCCTCGCGGTCGCGATCGTAGACGATGAGGGTGCCGTCGGCATGGGCGGCCATGAAGAGGCTCTCGCTGCCGGGCAGCCAGCGGACCTGGGTGACGGCCGACGAGGTGATGGCGCCGCCCTTGTTGATCCGCGTGTAGCGGGACGACATGGGGTCGAGCCAGAGCAGGTCGCCGGTGACGAAGCCGATGACAATGTCGAGGCGGTCGTGGGAGCGGGTGAACTGGTTGACGTCGTGGCAGCTGGGCGACGCGCTGAAGCTGATCCTCGCCAGCGCCTCCTTCATCCTGCCCGTGGTGTCGGCGAGCCAGAAAAAGGAGCGCGCGTTGTTGAGGAAGACGAAGGAGTCGTAATCGGTGCGCTGCGCCAGGATCTTGGCGAGGTCCTGGTGCGTGACCATGCGGTTGACAAAGTTGCTGCTGGTGTTTTTGACGCTGTTCTTGGGCCGGCTCGGCTTGGCGCTGAGGCGGCCCATGGTGGCGCCCAGCCCCGCGAAACCCATGCCCTGTCCGCCGATGCCGGCGATACCGGCGAGCCCGCCATTGCCACCGGTGAGGCTCGAGGCCGGCGCATCGATCCCCTGGGCGGCCAGGGGCGCTTCCAGCAGTGGCCCTCCCGAAGAGCCGAGGTAGTCTGCCACCGACAACCCTGCTCCTCCGTTGGCGTGCGTTGCGTCTCCCGTTACGCTGGCGTCGCTGCCGTTGCTCGAGTCAATGGCTGCGGCGGCGGCGGCAGCCGCCTTTGCGGCCGACCTCTCCTTTTCGGCGTGCTTTGCCGATTTCGAGGTGGAAGGGTACTTTACGCTGACGGTGCTGGTTCGGGGCGTGGGGTAGATGGAGCTCATGAAGGCCTGGCTGTAGACCTGCGGAGCGATGCTGATGATGGGCTGCGGCGGCGGGGCAAATGTGCCGGTCTGGAGGTACTGGCCCTCGGGCGCCTCGAAGCGTATCGTGTCGGTGGTCATGACGGCAGGGTGACAGAGTGGTGATGCAGAAGCAGCGACGGGCGAGGACGAGGTCGGCGCTGCTGGGCGGTCGGTTCGCGTCGCCGTTGTGGAGCGCTGGGTCCCTGTGTCGTGAAGAGGAGCGGACGTGTGAGCTCTGCGGGCGGGAGTGGCCGACAGCAACGAGCCTGTTGCCGACGAAGTGATATAGCAAGCACCGAGGTTCAGGCAGCGACGCCGCGCACCAGAGGCTGGTCACCGGGGTGGCGAGTCTCTTTCAGAGGATGTGCAAAGAACGAAGCCGAGGGACGGTGGCCGTGTCGATGATGGTCGCAGGAGAGCGCTGGCAGGCAGCGGTGGGCAAATGGGGTTCGTTCTGAATGCGCGTTGGGGGCGCTACTTGCTGTCTAGCCTGGGCCGTGTGTTGGCCGGGGATGGGCGCAAGGCTGATGACCGCAGGTGTCTGTGCGGTGCGGCGCAGTCTATCTGTTCTGGCGTCGGTGCGCGCGCCGAGGACGGGCGCATCGGCTCGGCCCGATTGAAGCCGAGGTTGGGCTGCAAGTCGGGCGGAGTGTCCGCAAACAGGGTGCGGCGGGGCGAGGCCAAGATGGCCGCGGCGATGGTTGTGCGGAGGGCGGCGGTGATGGAGGTGGTGGCGAGGAAGGGGGGCAGGAGGATGGTGGTGGTGGTGATGGTTGCAGCACTTTGACGTTGCAACCGGGGGCGGTGGAGGAAGGAGTAGAGAGGGCAGCTGGGGAGGGAGGAGTGCGATGGAGCCGGGGCGGGGGTCAGAGCCAACCAAGAATTGTGGGACTGGGGCCACGCAGCACGTCGGCCCCCTCTGCTGCCTGGCCGCAGCGAGCAAAAGAAGAAGCAGCAGCCAAGCCCAAGCCCAAGCCCAGCCCAGGCCACCGAGTGTCTGTCTCTCCGCGGCTTTTCGGTCGTCGCCCCCGCCGCCGTTGACGCCGTCGTTGGCTCCCTCCCTTGCTTAGCTTCCTCTTCGGCCAGGCTGTTCAGGCCCGCAACCCCAGCCCGTCGGCCTGGACCTCGTCTGGCTCTCGATGCCGTCGGGCGGCCCTCTCCGCTCTCTGCCCGCCCGGCCCTTGGCCTGCCTTGCTTGCCGCGCGTCTGTCTCTCCGTGGCCGCTGATCCTGCTGACAAGCAGCACGCACGCACCACCACCACCCCCCGGCCATTCCGCCTGGCATCCGCCCGCCATCAACCAGGGCAGAAGCAGGAGCTCAGCGAGCGTGCGCCGTTGGTCTATTTCGAGGCCTTCTCGTCGTCATCGTCGCTCCTCCCCTCCGCCTCCCAAGCCTTCCATGCAACTCGGTCACCTACTGTACCCGGCTGTAGCCATCCATCAGCATATAGCGTATCGGCGGGCCTCTCCTTGCCTGTCGTGACCAGCAGCGCAGCATGAGCCATATGGCTGCCCCTCGGATAAGGGCTGGAGGCCCGCATGAGCAGCGCGCTTGAGCCTCTTACGTCGTCGTCGTCGTCGTCGCCGCCGCCGCCGCCGCTGCTTGCTCTGTCGCTGGCCTGCCTTGGACGTGGTTGTTGGGGCAGGCGCATAAATCAGCTCCGTGCGGAGCAGCGACCGGCCGGGGGTTGACGGGCTGCAGCACCTGACCTGGCCCGGCCAGGCCTGGCCCTCGCCTTCCCCACACATCCATCCGGCCTAGTGCGATGTGCTGATGGCCAGCACGCGTACGGCCAACGTCCTGGCCTCGGCGCACCGTCACGCCCGACTTACGACTGGCGTGCACTCTCTCTGTACCGCAGGCCATGCGTGCAGACGCTCGTTCGTGTGTAGCTATAGCTAGGTGCTCTCGCGGCCCTGCCCGCCCTTTCTGGCCAGGCGAGGCCTTGACCCTCCTGCGGATGGTGCCGAGATAGAGAGGCAGGCAGGCCAGGGCGGCGACGGCCGGTGGAGAGAAGCGAGGCGCCACGAGGCGGCGGGCCAAGCCAAGCAGCAACCAGCAGCGGCCACCAGGCTGGCGGGCAGGCAGGCAGGCTAACGCAGGCCGGGCCGTCCCTGCAGCAGGCCGGCCACGCATGCAGCTCACCGCCCCATGCTGGCACGCACACGCGCACTCGGCCCGCCGAGATCGGGGTGGCCGTCGAGCCGCCGTTTGACATCACACCACGGCCATCCGATCTGGTCGGTGGGGGACGGCAGGATCATTTCGGCCGGGAAAAGCTCGGAGCGCACAGGCCCACCCCTGACCAGCCCGTTCGCCCCGCCTGGCCGTCCCCGCCAGACCGAGGACGGGCCGGGCAAGACCAACACGCGGGCTGGCCGGTTGGTCGGGCCAGCCAAACGACCAAGCGCAACCGCTGCGGCGATCCACGACCAGCTGCTCCGCCAACCCGCTCGATTCTTCTCAACCCGCGCCGCGGCACAGGCCCACCTTCCCCCTCCGACCGACGACAGCGCAACCTCAACCACAGCGCCACTCGGGTTGCATCGTGGACCAGTCACCACAAGACTCGCTCCTTGCGCCGTGGCCGAGAGAACGGGCACCACCGCGAACGGCGCCCGCGCTTCAACCTCGCTCCGACCGCCGGCCGCTGGAAAGCTACAGCAGAAGTGAGCCTTGCCATCGCCGGCGCGCGCTACAGGCGCCACCATGAACGGGGATGGCGATGGCGGTGGCAGTGGCAGCGGTAGCGCCAGCGCCTTTGCCAGCGGTGCGGCCACGCCCTCGTCACAGCAAGACGCAGGCCATCGTCCAGGGACGCCTTCTCGCACCGCCTCCAACCTACGCAACGAGATCGGCAGCCCCACCAGCACCGGCTCAGAGAACGGGTACGACTCGCAATCAATCAACGACGGCTTCGCGCCTGGCATCCTCGCCTCGAGGCTCGGGCGCAGCCTGGTGGGCGCCGGCGTCGGCAGCTCCCTCAGCCTGACCGGCTCCGGTACCAGCTCGCCCAGCCTCTCCATGACCGGCTTCAACGGTAAGTGACCGCCAATGGGCCAGCTGCAATGCCTCTGCACGCACGCTAGCTTGCCGACAACGGACCTCGCTCATCCCCATCCGGCACCTCCTCCCTGCAGCCATCTCGACCGTGCTCAACAACCCTTCGAAACGCCAGCATACGATCGACCCCAAGTCATCCCGCTTCCCACCTCTGACGCCCACCCCACACGTCCTGTCGGACATTCCCAAGGCCAAAAAGTCCGACATCGAGGGCTACCTCTCCAGCGTCCGGCCAGAATGGGACCGCTTCATGCGGAACCAGAAGCTCGGCAGGCAGGGGAGGGCGACCGTCGGCGAGAGGCACGACGGCGAGGGCGACGGAGATGGCGACGACAGCGTCGGCGGACCCGCCTCGGCCCCGGCGGCGGCCAAGCGGCGTGGCCACCGTACCCGTGGCAGCGTCGCTTCCCTCTCGGCCGACCTCCGAGCGCAGCCAGTGGTGGCCCCCGAGAAGCGGCTGCCTCCGCTCAGCGCGGTACCCCAAGTCTTCTTCTCCGAGGACTTCGATCTCGGCAACCCATACACTTTCGATCTGGTCACCGAGCGGCACAAGGCGACGACGACCTCGGGCGGCGGCAATGGTGCCGCGGCGCCCAGCTACGACGTCGCACTCAACCAGATGCTACAGGAGAAGCTGAGCTACTACTCGGACGTGATCGAGCAGCACCTCGTCATCGAGATCGGCACGCAGTCGTCCTCGTTCTTCGCCGCGCTGGGCAACCTCAAGGAGCTCAACGCAGAGGCTGAAAGCTGCCTCGAGCGGATCGGACACCTCAAGTCGGAGCTGGTCCACATCGACGAAGACCAGGCCAAGGCGGGGCTGCGCGTGGTGCGGGAGCAGGAGCGCCGGCGGCAACTGCACAGCAAGCGCAAGGCCATCGAGAGCGTGCGCGAGGTCATCGAGCGGCGCGATCTGGCCCGCCTGCTGGTGCAGCAGGGCGAGACCGAGGAGGCCCTCGAGATCATCGATGGTGTGCGCAGCGTTCTCTCGGCCGACCCCGCCGCCGATGCGGCGCGACCAAGCCTCCGGTTCACCGACCTTCGTTCGCTCTCCTACATCTTGCCAGAGCTGCGAGAGCTCGAGTCGAGCCTCTCTGGATCGCTACAGCGCGACTTGGTTGCGATCCTCGCCGACGACCTGGCCGAGCGCGTGCGCCCGACCTCGGAGGGCGACGGCACCGGGCGGGATGACTACTTTGCCGAGAGCCTCGTCCCGAGCCGCTCGGCCGGAAGCCCGCTCTCGCCGGCTGCGAGCACCTCACTCCCCTCTTTCGTCAGGCCGCCCTCCTCGCCGTTCGGCAACGCGGCCAAGCCGCTGTCAGATCCCGACTCTCGGCTCAAGTCCCGCATAGCTCCGCTCATCGGCGGCCTCGTCCGTACGAGCGGCATCGATGGTCTGCCCGCCGCTTACAGGGAAGCCGCGCTGCGGGCGGTCAAGGAAACCTGGCGTTCCAGACTCGGCGACGACGGCGAGGAGTGGGCCGAGCTCGCGGCGCTCCTCGAGACCGACGATCCGTCCAAGAACGACCTGGTCGGCGCACCCGAGGTGGTCGTCCGCTTTCGCGACATCGAGCACCAGGCGTTCCTCTCGCTCGGTCGGAAGCTGCTCGACGCGCTGCTCAGGTGCCTCAAGGGCATCGATTCGCAGGCCAAGCTCGTCATCCGCATCCTCGACGAGTACCACGCGTCCGGCAGCGGCGACCGCGATGCAGCACCGCGGAGCAGCACCGACCAGGCTGTCGACGCCGCGCCTACGATGCCAGACGGCGTGTCGGCAACGCTACCGACGACGATGGCCGATATCGTGACCGCGAGCACGGAGCTGTCGCACGTGCTTACGGCTCGCCTGATTTCGGTCCGGTCCAGCACGCACGCTGCCATGGACCTGGCGCCATTCCTCGCCGTATTCCAGCTCTGCTGGTCCTACGTGCTCTCGTCGGAGCTCGTCTGCCGGAGGATGATAGTGGGCCTGCGCGGCTCCGTGCTCAGCCAGGCCAAGGGATTCCTCTCGCAGTTCCACCGCAAGCGGATCGAGAGGGCCGCCAAGGCGGTCGAGGAGGAGACGTGGGCGCAGTCCGACGTCGGTGCCGATGTGCAGCGGCAGGTGCGGCTGATTGTCGAGAGCGCCGTCGAGGATCCGGCCGCCTTCGTCGTGAGCAGCGAGCTCGCACGCGGCTCGATCGACGCTGCACGCGGTTCCGCCGGCGCTGGGACTGCGACAGGCGGTGCGGACGCGGCAGACGCCGATGCAGCACCGCAGCCCGCGCAAGGCAGCAAGGCGCTCGAGATCGAAGACCGCTCCTACTTTGTCGTCTCGGCCAGCCTCGACGTGCTTAAGTTGCTCGCGGACTACCTCCGCGTCATCATTAACCTGCCGCTGCTGACCACCGAGGCCATGGGCCGCGTCGTCGAGTTCCTCAAGCAGTTCAACTCGCGCACCTGCCAGGTGGTGCTGGGCGCCGGCGCCATGCGTTCGGCGGGCCTCAAGAACATCACCGCCAAGCACCTGGCGCTCGCATCCCAGTCGCTGTCGATCATGATCTCGCTGATCCCCTACATCCGCGAGACTGTGCGCCGCCACCTCAGCCCCAAGCAGGCAGTGATGCTGACCGAGTTCGACAAGCTTCGCCGCGACTTCCAGGAGCACCAGTACGAGATCCACGCCAAGCTGGTCGCCATCATGAGTGATCGCCTGACGGTCCACTGCCGCGCCCTCGGCTCGGTCGATTGGAACGCGCCACTGCCTGGCGACGGAGACGACGGCGATGGCGAAGCGACGCCCGAGGCCAACAAGTACGCGGCCGACCTGGTCAAGGAGACGGCGACGCTGCACAAGGTGCTCTCAAAGTACCTCCAGCCTCCCGTCGTCGAGCACGTCATCGGCCAGGTGCTCAAGGCCATCGACGCCCGCATCGCCGCCGAGCTCGACAAGGTCGACGTCCAGACGCGGGCGGCTCGACGCCGCATCGAAGAGGACATCGGCCTGCTCAAGACGAAGCTGTCGGCGCTCAAACACGTCGAATGGCAGGGAGAGGTGAGCATCCAATATCTGGGGCCCGATCGGATCCCGGCAAAAATCCATCGCAGCAGAGCCCACGAGACTGATCAACACGCTGTCGTTCTTGACCCGGCTACGCTACACAGCAACTTGACGCCATCCTCGAGAAGAAGCAGGTCCATGCTGCCACTCAGCGAACCAGCGCCGATGGCAGCAGCGGCAAAGAGGCGGTCTCGTTGGCCGCCGAGGCGCAGCAGCCGGCCCCGCAGCACGCCTACAAGGCCCGCATCCCATCTCTGTTCACCCGCAGGCAGCAGCAGCAGCACCAGCAGAACCAGCAACAGCAACAGCAGCAGCAACAACAGCAACATCACCAGCAGCAACAGCAGCAGCAGAACTCGGCTGCCCGCTCCTCTGCCGACTCGACCCCCTCGTTGACCACGCTTCAGGCTCGGGCATCGCAAGAAAGCACGCCGCGGTCCAGCATGCAGGATATTGTGGTGCCGCCGGTACCGAACAAGGACGCAGAAGCCCAGCCCGCAGCAGTCGACGACGCCGAAGCGCCTCCTCCCACACCGCCGGCGAAGTCACTGTCTGCTGAACGGGCATCTGATGAGTCCACAGCCGGAGTCGGGGAGCCTGCTCAGCAGCAGCAGCAGCAGCAGCAGCAAGCTGACGAGACGGAGGCTTCGTCCGAGCAGGCTTCGGCGTCTTTGCACACCGCTGAGCGGTCTAGCCAGGACAAGGGGGGCGACGTTGACGCTGGTGCGAAGGAAGGCGATAATCAGGAGGAGCAGGCGAAGTCGAACGACGCCGAGACGAGTAAAGCAGCGATTCCTGCGCTGGCCACGACTGCCGAGGCCGCCGCGACGGAGGCCCCAGCGGCTCCACGAACGTCGGGCGAGTCTGCGCCAACAGTCGCCGACCTGCCTAGGCAGACTAGTCCGAGTCAAGCAACCGAACCGTCACCGGCGAGTCCGCGACAGTCGGCCACCAAGCCAGAACCATCGTCGGCCTTTGCATCCCCCGTCAAGAGCGGAGCATCGACGCCGGTCGCATCGACCAACAACACGCCGTCGAAGCCGGGGCGGATGTCGCTCAAGGAACGGCTTGCCGAGGCGGCGCGGAAGAGGTCGATGGCACAGCAAGCCCCCGCAGCTGCCGCGCCGGAGCCTGCGCCTGCAAAGCCCTCTCCGGCAGCAGCTGCTACCGGTGTAGCCGCCGAAACCAAGGCCGGAGACGCGGACCAGGCCCAAGATGAAGGCGCGAAGCCATCAGAGGTCGCAAAGCAGTCGAAGGACGCGTCAGCCATGCTTCCGTCGCAGGAAACGGCTGTTGCTGCCGCGCCTCGGGACGAGGAGATCAAGCTGGCGCCCTCTGAGGCCGAATCGGCACCAGGTGTGACACAGCAGCCCGAGGCCATGCCAGAAGCACAGCAAGAGGGGTCCGCTGCCCTTCCGAGCAGTGCTCGGGCCGAGATGGCTGCACCTGTTGCACCAGAGGCACCAGCACCCGAGCCAGCTGCTCCGACTGCGGACGTCGTTCCGAGCGCCCTCGGCGCAGAAGAGGAAAGCAAGCATCCGGCGGGGTCCACGGACTCGGCAGACGCCCAGGCCACCAAACTCGATGCGTCGTCCTCCGGGGCGCAGCAGCCCACGGCCACCAGCATCGAAATCGAGGCGCAGGAAGCGACGGTATCGGCCCAAGTCGACGAGTCTGTTACTAAAGCTGGCTCGACGGCGCCAGAAACAGAGGCTCTATCGAGCGAAGCCCCCGAGCAAGCGACCGAGGCACAGGCATCGACTACGGCAGCGCTGGAGGAATTGGACATGCCGCCGCCTGCTGCCTCACGAGCCGACGACGCCGGAGAGGAAACCGATGCTGCTGCCGTTGGAGCCCCATCCGCGGAAGCTCAAGACGAGCCGCCGGCCGCCGATGAGGGAGGGGCCGATGAGGTTTCGACGCCGATCCTGTCGGGCACTGCGACGCCCGACGTGGAAGAGAGCGTCAAGGGCGACGGCGACGACGACGATGGAGAGGCCGACGCCAAGCAAGGCACTGGAACTCCCAAGACGCCGGGCAAGAAGAAGAAGAAGAAGAACAAGAAGAAGAAGTGAGCCATGGTGGCCACGCGGAGAGGCCGGGCCGGCGTTGGGTGATAGGAGCTGCCAGGCGTGATGAGATCGGGCCCCTCGATGCGGCTCGATCGGGGAGTAGGCTTCGATCGATAGACTTGGCCCGATGGGCGACTGGACAAGCAGGGGTGCTATGTTTGGCTTCTGCCCGCCGCCTGCCGCCTGCCGGCCTGCCGCCTGCCGTTGGAGCGCGTGTGTCTGCATAAAGCAAGCAACAGCGACGGCCCCCCGCAACCTGACGGCGGGTCTTGGCGCGCGACCGACCCCCCTCAGCCTCCCATTCGACGGTTGGTGTCGGATCGGGTGGCCCGTCTTTGCCCCTCATCGTGGCCATGGCAGAAATCAAGACACGAGCGAGAAGTGTGTAGTTAGCCCTAGCTTTGCCCCTGCCGTGTGTGCACGCCGTCGTTGGAGCGCTGGTACGGTGTGGCCTCCTGGCCAGCAGTCGAGGCCAAAGACGGGGCGGGTGGGGAAAAGGACCCTGCCGCCCGCCGCCCGCCGCCTGCTGACGTCGGACTCGCGCCGGCGTGCGTGCGTGGGCCTGGCCTGGCCCTGCCTGGCTTGGCCCAACCACGCCTGCTTTGCTGAGACGATCCCAACTGGTGTGCCTCGTCGTCGTCGTCGTCGTCGTCGTACTCGTCGTTGTCGCTGTCCCTCACTCGAACTTCTACATACGCCATCGTCAAGCGGATCGACGACTGCACGGCCACAGGAAAAAGACGCCGTCCCGAATGCATGTTTCGCCCTCTCTCTGAGAAGACGGCAGGGGCCCGACGAGGCCTACCTGGCGGGGGCTGCTAAAGATGAACCGGCTTCGGCCTCTTTTTTTTAGTCGAGTCGGGGGCCGCCGAGCTCGACTGTGGCCGAGTGCCGACCGAGGGGCCGGGCAGGCCGTGAGGCGGTGCTGCAGCTTACCCTGCCCTGCCCTGCCCTGTCTCGGGGGCACGCCGCTGCCTCGGTGCCTCCTGCCACTTGCCACCAGACACGAACAGCTAGAGAGCCTAGCCTAAACTGCCTCGGCCTCGGCCTCTCGCCCTGCTTCCCGCTCTCTCTCCCTCTCTCTAGCCTCGTATCTTGACCGCTACCCGACCGACTATCGGCTCAGCTCACCACCATCGCATCGTCGCCAGGTCTCGCTTGTCCCCGTCACCTCGCCCGCCCGTCCGTCCGTCAGACAGCCACTTGAGCCCAGCCCAGCCTACGGTAGCCCGCCAGCCATGTCGTCTTACCCCTTCGCCGGCAACCCTACCGCCCAGTCTTCGAGCGACCACGACCCTTCCCTCCACCACCACCACCACAACCCGTACCCAAACGACTACCAGCGCGACTCGCACGACGACGACGACGCCTACCGAGACCACCCGCAGTCCCACGACTCTGCCTATTCGCGCGACCACGCCCAGCCACACCCCTACACCGACCGCGACGGCGCTGACGACGACGGCCAAGACCAAGCCTACCGCCCTCACAGCCTGGACGCAGCACCAGCGCAGCCCGACTACGCCTACCGCGACACCGCCACCGTCGCCGCATCGCGAGACCCCTACACCATGACGGCAGAAAAGGGCGATCCCTACTCGGGCGCTCGCGGAAACAGCATCTGGACCCGCGACGACAAGCGCTCCTTCCAGGAACGCAGCGCACCCGCAAAAATCTTCCGCGTCCTCTTCTGCATTCTCGTCATTGGCGTCATCTTTGTCCTCGCCATCATCTGCCTCGTCGTCACTGTGAGTGCCTCGCCACAGCCTGGTCTGTGGCAGTGCAAGGAACAACATCGCTCACCCCCCCCTCTGCGCCCTCTCTCCCTCGACAGTTTGTCCGGCCACCGAACGTCGCCATCAGCGGCGTCGGCGTTGCATCGCAGGAGGTCAAGTACAGCAACGGCGCCTTTAGCTTCGACGTCAAGGTCGACATCTCCATCTCGAACCCAAACTCGATCTCGGCCACCATCGAAAAGCTCGAGGCAAAGGTGCGTCCCCAGGCAGCCCCGCTCGCACCCGCCCATCCTACAGCAACGGCAGACAGCTGACCATCCTCCCCCTGCCCGTTTACCTCGTCCCCCTTGTGCCTCAACCTGCACCGCTCGAACAGGCATACGACGCCAACGATAAGAGCACCACGGTCGGCTCGGGCATCATCCGGAATCAGAAGATTGTCCCGCATGCCAACACGACCATCGGCTTCCCATTCACCATTGCCTACGACTCGAGCAAGGACACCGACCTCAGCATCATTAAGAACATTGCCGACAAGTGCGGCCTCAACCTGGCCGGTCTCACCGGCGGGAGCAGCAGCGGTGGTGGTGGCGGCGGCAACCTCGACGTGAGTAGGCGCACATTTGTGCTTCTCGCTCCATGCCCGCTTTCAGGCTGACCACCATATCCGAGCGCTGGCGTTGACGATTCCACCACGCACTCCGTCCTTCACCGCGCAGTTCGATCTCGACATCGACGTCGACGTCTCGGTGCTGTCAATCTCGATCCCGGTCAGCTTTAGCCACGACGTTTCGTTCCCGTGTCCGCTGACGGGCGCATCGATCCAGTCGGCGCTGGGCGGCCTCCTCGGCGGCGTGACGGGCACGGGTCAGCGTCGCCGCGACGTCCCGCTCATCGAAGAGCGGCAGCCGGAGCCGGCATCCTCTTCGCCTCTGGACCTCGTTGCCGCTGCGGCCGATGCCTTCGTCCGGCGCGCCGCCGCGACGCGCCAAAAGTCGATTGCGGATCTACACGACGCCCTCTGAAAGCTCTGCCGACTTCGCCCTCTTTCAGGCAGGGGGACGGACGATGTTTTCTTGTTTCGCTGAACATGGACAGTCACAGGCGGGCGGGCGGGCGGGCGAACGGGTGGGGACCGTCTCTTTTTCTGCCCTTCTCCCTTCTTGCTCGCCCAGCCTCTTCCCCTCCTCACTCTTTCTCAAAACGGACTCTTGTGTATTCTCGCCGTCTTTCCATTCCCCCCACACTCTCTCTCCCTCTCTGTTGCAGTCTCGATAAAGTCCAACTCCGCCCCCTCTGTCCATCCTCTTTTTGTCGGACACGAGCCATCCTCCTGTATCCGTATCGTACCGCACGCGCGCCCGCCCGCGAACTTTAATCTCGTCTCTCGTCATGGAAGAAGGTGGGATCAACGTGCTGGTGCTGAGGAGGGTCGAGGGGGGATCCCATGCCACCTCACACGGGGTAAGGAAGAGGACGACGACGAGGCAACAAGGGTGGGGGTTTTTCGAATTGTGGAATACAGTTGGGGTCGAGGCAAAGGGGACGGACGCAACGGGTGGTTATGTGGAAGAGGGAGGAGAACCCAAGACAAATCGAGGAACTGGGGAAAAAGCGGGAGGGGGGCGAGTGATTAGGTGGTGGTGGTAATACAGTTTAGAGGGACCGGCGATGGGAGAGAGGGGGGGCTGGACGAGACTTTGTAGCTATGGCTATGGGTCTGAATCTGAGACCGGATCTGGACGTTGGCGAGAGCGAAAGAGGCGGGAAAGGGAGGGGGGACGGTGACGCGTTGCAAGAGGGCGAGGGATGGAGGGGCAGGGCGCGATTCTATGTCTTTACGCGGTCGATCTGGACAGAGAGGAGGGTACGTGGTGGCAAGTGTCCAATATAAAGAGGTGCGGTCCGGTCCGGTCGGGTCGAGGGCATGCTGCCGTGGCTGGCTAGGCCGACGAGAAAAAGTTGTTGGGGTTGGAAAAGTCGCTGGGCATGGGCATGGATGCGCCGCCACCACCACCGCCGCCACCGTTGTTGACGCCGATGGAAGCGAGCAGGCCGTCAATGTACTCCTGGGTGCTCTGGTCGTTGATGAGCATGTGCTGCTGCTGCTGCTGGTGCTGGCCATCCGCAGCATCGGCCTGGCCGCCGCCGAGCAGCTTGGACTCGCCAAACTCGAAGCTGGCGGGAGAGAGGAGGCCGCCGCCGTGCCCATCCTGCGGGTGCACGGCGAGGTGCATCCCAGACACGCCGAGCGCCGACGTCGTCGAGCTGTCGAGCGCCGCCGTCGAGGCCGCCATGGCCGCCGCGCTAGAGTGGATGCCCGGCCCGAACGTCATGTCGAGCGGCGAGTGGAGCGACGAGTCGATGCCGCCGTTGTTGGCCGCCTCGGCGGCCCAGTGCCGCGCCAGTCGCTCCTTTTGCTGCCGCGCCTCGTCGCCCGAGATAATCGGCGGCGGCTCGTTGAGCGGCGCGCCCGACATCTGCGGGTACGGCGTGATGGGCGTCAGCATGGCCCGCTGCTGCATCAGGCCCCACGCCGCCGGCGATGGGCTGTGCATCGGCGAGTGCTGCTGACCCGCCGGGCTGAGCATGGCGCTGTTGGGCACCTTGTTCGGGTTGAGGTACGTCGGCGCCGGCGGGATAGAGACCATCAGCGGCTTGTTGACCGAGAGGCCGCGCTTGCGCAGCAGCGTCGGCGGCTGCAGGCCGTTGTTGTTGGCGCCAAACGGCATCGACCCGTCAAAGTGGAGCGGCTGCGGGCCTTGCGCCCGTTGGTTGGAGTGGGGCTGCGGCGAAGGCTGTGTCTGCATCAGCGCCGGCGGCGCAGGCGGCGTCATGGCGCGGTAGCCCTGCGAGTGGCTCTGCTGCATCTGGAAAGACTGAGGCTGCTGCGGGTGGTGCGCCATGCCCATGGCGCCCGGCTGCTGCTGCTGCTGCTGGTGGTTCGGAAGGCCGTAGAAGGGCTGCCCGTGGAGCGGTGAGGGCAGGCCCACCTGACGACCCATAGGCGACGGGCTGGCGCCGGTGCTGGCGGTGAGCACAGAGACGGTCGGAGTACCCGGGTTGGTGCCGAGGGCCTCGACGCACTCGAGATCCCAAGCAATGACCAGGACCACGTCGCCAACCTTGCTGCCCGGGCTGAGCGTCGAGCCAGAGTCGGGCAGCAGGGTGGGGCCAGCACTCGGGTTGGATTCGCGAGGACCGGGCGATCCCTGGCCCTGGGTCTTGGGCAGGCCGTTGCCGCCCTCGTCGGCGGCGACGACGAGCTCCTGGATGATGGTGACGCCCGAGACGGCCATGCCGAGCGCGGCCCGCTCGCTGGGCTCCTTGCCAAACGACTGGATGCCGTCGCGGTCGTTGTAGACGTTGACCGGGTGGTTGCGGCTGAGGAAGTCTGCCCAGAAGTCGGTGGCGAAAGGCGCCTGGTGGCACCACCGGTGGCGCGTCGAGCCGTCGCGGCTCGCAGACGGCTCCATTGGCGTGGCGGGCGAGGGCGGCTCGCTGGGCGAGGCGGTGGCCGGGCTGATGCAGGTCTGCTTCTTGTCGGACTGGTCCTGGCCGGACGCCGAGGCCTCGGCGCTGCCATCGGTGGTCGTCGCCTCGGCATTGGTGCCATCAGCTCCCTCGTCGGCGCCCTTGGAGGCCGAGGTGGTGATGCTGGCACCGTCGGTGACGCCTCCGCGTCCCGAGACGCGGCGCGGCGCATCGAGCGGCTCGACGAGCGAGAGGACGCGCTTGCCGTGCGAGTAGACCGAGGTGACCGAGGTCAGGCGCGAGTCTTGCGCGCTGGTGAGCGAGAGCTGGGTGCTAAAGTGGTCGTAGCGCGGCATCATGATGTCGTGGCGCGGGATCGAGAGCGGGACGTGGACGTGGAGAAACTGGCAGGGCATGTGGTGGTACATTTCGGCGAGGCGCGGGAAGCGGAAGTGGCCGACGCGGACCGAGTCGAGGGGCAGGCGCGGGAGCGAGGCATGTCCGTTTGCGAACGTGGTCATGGCGCTGCGGTCGAGGCTGGTGTAGACGTGCTTGTCGTCGGAGTTGGAGCAGTGGACCCACATCGAGAAGCTGGCGGGGAGGATGGGGCAGGGCGTGTTGGCCATCTGGCCCTTGCCGTTGGGGGGGTGGGGCAGGTGGAGGTCGTTGAGGGCCGAGGTGATGGAGCCCGTGGCCGACATGGGGGGCGCTCCCGGTGTGGTGGGGCTGGCGAGGGCGTGGGGCCCCAGGCCGGGCGTGTAGGGCGAGAGGAGTCCGGCGCTCTCCATGCTGAGGAGCGGGTAGGGCCCACCGAGGCCGCCGTAGCCGTAGCCGGCGAGGGTCTGGGCGTACATCATGCCGCCAGCGGGGATGTAGAAGTCCTCCTCGGACGTGGGTTCGGCGATGAGCTGCTGGAACTCGGGGTCGCCCTTTTTGATGTTCTTGAGGACCTGGATGTGGCTGGATACCTGCTTGCGGGTGCGCGTCTTGTTCGTCTTTCGCTCAATGTAGTCTGCGATGAGCTCGTTGCGGCCGCACGGCTTTCCGTGGACGAGGACCTTGCGCCGGCCCAGCTTGGGGATGAGGCGAAGTGCTGCCGGTTGCAGGAAGGTGGATGGAGGGTAGAGCGAGGGGGGAGGGCAGGATGAGGACGAGGACGAGGGATGGAGACGAGGGATGGGGAGAGAGAGTGAGTTAGGGGCCAAGAGGGCGCGCGCGCGCGGGGCTGTATTTCAAGGTTTGGATGCGGCAGGCTCACCTTCCCAGAAAGCGACTTCGACGTCGTCGGGCCAGACATCCTGGCTCTTGTTCTTGTCGGAGCTCGGGGTGGTGGTGGGGTTCTGGTGGTTGGGGTGCGGAGGGTTGTGGTGGTGGTGGTGGTGGTGGGTGGCGGAGTTGGATTGCGAGAGGCGGCTCGGGGTTGAGCTCGACTGGTGCGACTGGGCGCGCTGCATGGCGTCGGCTGCAGCTCGGGCAGGCGCGCTTTTAGGCTCGTCAAAGCGCCCCGCCGACGCTGGCAGCGACAGGCCTGCCGTCAAGTTGGCAATCTCCGAGCCCGACTCGCCACCACCGCCACCGCCGCCCAGCGACAGCTTGCGCACCCGGATCGAGGACACGCTGCTCTGCACCGAGTTGGTCCCCGCCGTCGTCGACGACGGCGTCTGCTGCAGGTGCTGCTGGTGGCCGCCCACGGAAAACGTGCTCGACCCGGCAGAGTGCATCACATGCTGCTGATACTGCCCAAAGTTGGGCGGCGTCTGCTGGTGCAGGTAGAAGGCGTGCGCCATCTGCTGCTGGTGCCCAGCTCCGTTGCGGTCCGGCGTCGCCTCGACCCCCGACGTCCTCCTGCGCTTGTTGTCGTCCATCGACGCACCGGGTCCAGCCGCACCGGACGAGCCCGAAGCGCTCGACCCGTCCAGCGGCTCCAGCGGCGTCGGCGTAGGCGTGCCCTGCATCGACAGGCTCACCGTCAGCCGCGGCGGCGACATCAGGTACTCGTTGCTGCCCTGCGACATGCTCAGGTTGCCGAAGCCGGTGTACCCAGAAGATGGGCCAGACGACTCAGCCGAAAGGCTCATGCTCCGCGCCGCACCGACCGTGACATTGTGCGACGCGCCCAGGCCCGCCGCCACGTCGGCCGTCAGGCTCGATGAGGATCCGGACGACGTCAGCACCGGCTGGATGCTGTGCCGCCGGTTGGCGGCCGCGGCAGCGTCGGCCGGCGAGGGCATCAGCGCGCCGTTGTTGGACGCCTGCCGCTTGCCCAGGAACGAGAACGAAGGGTTGGCCATCAGGCCGCCCATGTCGGCGTTGTTGACCGCCTCAAACTCGAGTGCGGCGGCCAGCGACGCATCGCCCCCGGCGCTCGAGTCCTGCGACGAGTCGTTCGGGTGACCGCCAAAGACGGCGTTGAACTCGTCGCGCTCCGTGGCCGAAAAGAAGGCGGCATTGGCCGCGCTGATCGACGAAGGGAAGGCGCCGTCCTTGCGTTTGGCGCCGTCGTGCGGCAACGCCTTCATGGTGTTGTCGGGCGTGCAGAGGTTGGAGCTGGACGACAGCGTCGAGTCCGAATAGGTTGGTGAGGGGAAGAGCGTCTGTCTTCCTCCAGTCGGCGAGCCCGTCGTCTGGGCAGCAACCTGCATGTCCACAAGTGCGAGGTCGATCGGTCGGTCGAGGTGGACAGGGAGGCTCAAGGAGCGGCTGGGCTGAGCGTCAGAGGTGCGCAGCTGGTCGACGACAACCGCGAGGTGATCCGAATCGGTCGGATGCGGTGCGTTGCGCGACGCGGTGTGGCACGGTCGGCAAGGCGTAGGCTGTGGTGTAAGACGCAGCAGATCAATCTGAAACGCGGCGGAGAGGCGGGTGCTGCTGTGGCGCGTGGCGTGTGTCGCTGCTTTGTAGGTTCTGCCTCAGGATCGACCTTTGGCACGGCGGCGACGATGGCGTTGCAGGCGGTGGCGAAGAAAGAGAGCTGTGGCGCGGGGTGGGGGCGGAGACCTGGACCGGGGCGGAGAGGGAGGGTTGGGGAGGGGCAGGGACAGGGACAGGGACAGGGACAGGGAGGGGAGAGCAGGCACGCCAAGGGGAGGGGAGTTGCTGGTGGTTGAGGTTCGAGGAGAGCAGAAGTGAGGGGGAGGAAAGCCCACGCTTGGTCCAGAGCGGCGGTACTGTTATATGGCGGAATGCAGCGATGGGCTCGAGGATGGGGGGGAACCAAAAGCCGCTGCCACTGCCACGGCCGCCGCTGCCGCCGCCAACGTTGCTGATGCCGCTACCACCGCTGCTGCTTGCCTGCCTGCCAAGCTGTCAAGGAGGGAGGCGGGGCGCGCAGACGAGCGGGTGGAAGGCGAAGCCGATTCGGGCAGGCGGCAGGGGGGGGGGACCATCAGGACAGGAGGTGCGGGCAGGAGCATGAAGGGGGGCGGCGAAGCGTTGCTAGGGTACCCTGCGATGTCAAGCAGCTCGCAAGCAAGCAACCAGGCAGGGGTCGACAGCGGAGGAATCGGCAGGAGTTGGCAGATCCATACCTCGTGAGGGGTGGCGGCCAATGCGATGGTCTGCGGGCCCGCCTACCTCTGGCCTTGCTCGCCCTGACATACCCGGGACCAGGCAGTCACACTAGGCCGCGCTATCGAGCGCGGAACGGCTCGACGCATCATATCACCCGACGCAGTCGAGCGAGGGACGAGGGGCGAATCCGGGATCCAGGATCTCACCAGCGTCGACGGAGCGCGGCCGGGCGAACGGGCGGTCGGTCGGTGGGTCGGATCATTCCTGGGGTAAGCTGGATCAAGGGGCGAGCAAGACGAGACAGCCGGAAAGCGCGCGGCAGCCGGGTAGGGAGAGGTGCTGCTGGTGGTGCTGGTGCTGGTGCTGGTGCTGGTGCTGGTGCTGGTGCTGGTGCTGGTGCTCTGCCAAAGGGGCAGGCAAGGCAGCTAAGCAGGCAGGCCAGGCAAGCTAGGGTCAGGAATCAAGGGGCTCGCTCACCTGGCCGCGATTCCGATGGCCCGCCGTAATGGCTCCAAAAGCTGCCCATCGCCAGAAGCCAGGGGGTTCCTCTTGGTCTGATTCCGGTGACCTGGATAGAGCTCGACTCGATTGCTGCCCCTCGAACCGGCAGGCAGACAGGCAAGAGCCAGCGCCCCGACGCTGCTGCGTGGGAGACACCTGACGGTTCCTAATTGGTGCCGCCCAGCAGCGGCTCTCGTTGTCAGACCTGGCCGAAGCGACATCTCCCCTACAGATCCATGGCGGCCGGGCTAGCGGCCAAGAAAGAGCATCCGTCCTAGCCTGCTTTGCTTGCTTGCTCGCCCGCCTGTCTGCAGGCAAGGGCAAGCGAGGGTGGTGTAGCGTGGGCAGTCCGGGTAATCGGTCGGTCGGCCTCCCTGCGGTACCTGCCGCCGCGCTTTGCGCGCAAGCGACTGCCAGAGTGTGCCTTCCACCTGGCCGTGGCAATCGGTATCGTCGAGTTGGACGATGTCGCAAAGAGCTGTGCGCGGAACGGTCAGCTTGCGGCAGCAGCAGCGGTGTCAGCAGCTAGGTTCATATGCCATGGGATGAAAGTTCGTCGGGCAGTCGTGCTGCTGCGCTCGCCGGTGTGATCGTCTGCCCGGCCAAAAGTGACCGCCGTCAGATGCGATCAGCGCGGCGTATGCGGCGTGGCCCCTTGGGAGCAAAGGATACCAGAGCGGCAGGCATGGCATCGCCCATGGACCGCCCGCACCGAAGCGTAGCGTGGCCGGGCAGGCCGTCCACCGTATGTAGCAGGAAGCAGGGGGGGACTGCCTAGGGTCCAAAAGCAGCGCCTCCAATTTCTGACCAGGCTAGGAAGAAGGGTTGATGAGGGGAGAAGAGTCGAGAGAGCGAGGTGAGCCAGGCGAAGACCTGGATCTTGCCATCGTCCCTGCCTGCCGGTCCAGACCGGGCAGGACGCTCTTGCGCAACAACGACCGGCATGGCTGGCCGTTGCCTCGCAACCCAGGAACCAAGCCGGCAGAAGGCGTTCGTCGCAGGGTCCGAAGGGGGAAAGGAAGACCTGCTTGCTGCCTGTCCGTCTGTGGCCCCTCTACGTGCGGCTTTTGCAAGCAGCTCGACGCACCGCCCGTCCGTCCGTCCGTCCGTCCGCTAACTAGCTTTACCTTTGTCCTGGTTCCTCCGCTGCCTGCCATATCGACCGCATGCTGGGGTCTGATTGACCCTGCCGCCAACGCCTCCACTGCCGCCAACGCCATCACCGCAATCCATTGAGCCCCGCCTTGAAATCAGACTTTGCTGCTTCTTCCTTCCACTCGACGTCCGCCCCGATGGCATCAAATCACAGCGGCGCTCATGCGTTCGTCCGGCGGCCAGACAAGGCGGTGGAAGTTGTACTGTACTGCACGGTCACCGCGCGGCCGGGGACGATGGTTGATGACCGAAACGACTCGACTCCTGAGCGCTGGCACGACCATCGCTGACGGTAGCTCTCGAGGGAAAGGTACGCGCACGGTATTCGACCATGCAACCTGTCTTTGCTCGCGTGCTCACCCTTGACTCGTATCGCCGTGCAGATGCAGTAATGATAAATGAGGAGAATCGCCGACATCGATCGTCTTGGCTCGCCTCTTGGTGCGTCCATTGTCCTCTGACGACCCTCGAAGGCTAGCGGTGGGCCAGTGTCTGTGCAGGCGAACCTTGTCGGATGAGACCGACGGGGTGGCTGCGGCTTCTTGCCCCTCGACTCGCCTCGACTCGACTCGAATGGTGGCAAGGCGTAGCGAGGATCGTCAAGAAGATCGGGCCCCAAGGAGGGATGGTCGATGGGCAGCGCAAGCTTGACCGAAGAGTCAGCAGGTTGCAAGGGGTACGGCGCGGGCTCGCCGGCGCGGTTCCTTCTGGAGCCCAACGCGATCGACGAGCGGCCTGACATCGTGGAGGCCGGATACGCTTAACTTGCTCATCCACTCGCACGTTGCGTCCGGGGTGTCATGGACGATGCCAAGCTTTCAGGCCTCGGTAGGGTCCACCGCCGTTGTGGCGGTCTCTCCAGACACGGATGCCAGATCAGAGAGGACGCCGTCGAGCCAAGGCCGGTTTGCAGGTGTGGCTAGACGAATCGGGCCGCCAGCGGCCGCAAAAGACGGATCGAATCGCATATCTCATGCAGCTGCTGCGAGGGGCTCCGGTCGTCCCGATGGCCACGGACCCAGCGATGATCATTGTCTCAGCAGGCCGCTGCGTTGCTCTGGTACCGACACCGGTATATGACCTTGAGATGCCCCTCGACATCTGCGCTCGCGTGCAAGATGAACGAATGCCGCCGACACTACTCTCACATCCGCACTTGCACTTGAGCAGGGAGGCGCGGCCCGGACTGTCACCTATTGGTCATGCCCGCTCGTTTGTGGGGGCCTACGCCTGTACAAGGCCGCTGCGGAATCTGTCGGGCCCCCCTCCCGCCGTCTGGAGAAGCCCGTCAGAAGCCCGTCCAACGGTCTGCCGAGAGGAGGGTCCGGCGCGGGGTGAAGGACGTCCCAAACGAGCGCGCCCGAGGCCATCTCGCACTCGCGTGCGTGGGGCCACAAGGTCGATCAACGTATACCTCCCAGCCTCGTCAATCGGCCTCAGTGTAGACTCAGTCACGCAGCGAGCAGCCATGGCGACAGGGATTTATCATCGTCGGTGAGAAGGGCGGCTGTTCGACGGTCGGTTTTGTCGCTCGCGCCGTAGGGGCCGGCCTGACCCCGGCCTGGCCCGTCGACGCCGTGGCTGGTTTTCCGAGCAGCGTTCCGGCCTTTGTCACGGTGCACAGCGGCCGTCTGCTGCGCTGAGCGAGGAGGGAAGGTCCAGATGCAAGGTAACCAAGTGGGACGGGACCGATCCGTCCCCGATGCCCTCTTTTAGGCGCGTGACGGTCACAAGCGGTCCTGCCGCTCTCCGTGGTCGACCCGATGGGGCAGTGGGCGCGGCGAAGCGAAGCCGTCGTCGCCAGTAGTAGCGATGTCGTCGTGATGAGCGTCCTCTGTATGGCGCAAGCTCGTTCCTCCGCCGCGAGCAGACCATCCACAAAAGGCGAGCGTGCGTGGCACCACGCTATGGCGAGAAAGCAAGGGGACAGGATCGGACATTTGCGCACAAGAGGCCGTCGATCGTTCCGAGTTCCCCTCTGCCGGAGGATGATCGGCCAAGACAATGGTGATCAATACATACGTACGTGTGCTGACCGAGACAATGAGCAGCGAAAGCCAATGATGACGGACGACGGCGTCGCGGTGGCGGTGGCGCCCCTCCCGCCTCCGCTGCGCTCTCGATGCGCGAAAGGAAAAGGCTCTACATTCCTGGCCTTGTTTCGAGGGCAAGCAAGCTGCCGTCCGGCAGGGATGGGCATACGCTGGGACTCGACGTTCATGCTTGCCCTGCGCCGCTTGGAGCGACCTTGTCAGCGAGCAGAAGAGGAAGGAGCAGCAGAGGCGGGCCGGAGCGTGCGGGCGGGCGAACGAGCGAGCGAGCGAGCGGGTGAGCTCTAATCAGGTCGGCATTTCCGGAGAAGATCTGCCGCAACGCGCCAGGCAGGCAGGCCAGCTCGCTTTCGAGCTCCGCGCGCCTCCTGACAGGTGCACCTGCAGCAACAGCCGCGAGCAGCAGCAGCAGCAGCAGCAGCAGC